ACAATCTAAATAGATTCATTAGAGACATAATACATTGTTATGTTGCTCGATATCCTTTTTCCTTGCATTATAAATATAAGAACAAATTTATATACACTTAATTCATTTTAATATGTTTTGAAATAATATAATAAAAGCAATAGTATTAAAAAATAAATTTTAATATCATTCTGCATGCACTTCAGTTTGATTAAAATATCATCTCTCATGTATTTTTTCTTTGATGTAGCATATAATTAAATTTTAACTTAATTGAATTTCTGCTAAATAAAGTTTGTTTACTAAATATAATAAATCTAAATTGTTGTGGTAAATAAATTTCATTTACTATATTAAACAAAACAAATGCTTTTAATTTCTAAAACTTTAATCCTTCTTTTCTTATTTTTTGAAGTTAATTAAATTTTTCTACACTCACTTGGTATTATTTAAGTTTTTAGGTAAACAATAATAATTGCATTTTATGGTAATTTTATTGTATTTTAAATTTATTTTAGTTTTTTTTTTTTGCTCTCCATGTAATATGATAAACTATTATATGTTTTCTGTATTGTAAATTGAATTTTATGGCAATTAGTTTCATATTTTTCATACAAAATTATACTTTGGGGATTTTAAATAACAAATATGTAAACAACAATAATGTATTTGACATGTTTGATATAATTAAAACAAATTTTTAACTGTAATTAAATTATAAAATAACACCTATATTTATTTTTATTATATTAGTACAATTTGATATCATTCGATATAAATATTTGCTGCATTTATTATCTTATAATAACTACCACAAATGCATTCAAAAAACCAATTAGTAAAATATTTCAGCATATTACTTCATAATTATATATTTCATTTATTGTTTATTTTCCATTAATGCAATATAACATCAAAATAAAATTTAACAAATATGTTTAAATAAGACCAAAATGTTTGTAATTAACAAAATTAAATTCATATACTCAACACTTTATTTAAACCAATTTATAATAAATTTTATAATTTTCTTTTAAAAGAAAGCTAATTATATCATTATTTATTATTAGTAGAAAGTAATGCAATTTAATTTATTAAAATGTAATTAAATATACATAGTATAGTAATGAATGAAGTTATTGAATTGGACAAAAAGTTTTTGGCGTTTTGCTGTTTTTTTGATTTTGAGATGCGATAACTTTTAAATGATAAGTTACAACTGTTAAACCTTTATTTTTGACTGATAATAGATTGATTCAGGATTTCTTAACCGATATTTTTAGTACACTCCGTGAGAAAGTATAAAAAATTCCTTGGTTTTCGTTTGCTGGTACTCTGTTTTTGAAAATATTCCAGATTTACTTTATTGGCCCGTTTTATAATACATACAATTTCATTTTCCCTTATAAACTTAAAAATTGTTCTATACTAGTACATACTTGAGTCAAAGTCATATTCAATTTAATTGATTTAATTCGAATAAAGTGTACGTCACCCACTATTCGCAATCTAACATTGAGAAGAAATATTCAGTAGCTAACTGCTGCTGAATATGTTATTATTACAATATTAAGACGATCAGGGGAAGGATGCACCATAAATATGTAAAAAAAATGATATAGTGATGTCTTCAGTGAGGTTACGTTTTTTGCAAAAAAAAGTATTACTGATTCTCGCTCTAATCTTTATATTGTACATAAAGTTGATGATAATATCCATAACGTTCAAGAAGACGTATAAGTAGCAGTCACATGGACTGTATTTTTCTGCCTATACATCAAGAAATTTTTATATATTTTAATATCTTTAACTTTATCTCTTTGGCATAAAGTTAACGTCAGTTTTTCAAAAATAAAAAACCGACCAGGAAAGGCTTCTTTATGTTAGCTTGACCAATCATTTAAAACTTTGACTTACTTCGTCCATATTTTTTATATATGTGATGTATGAAAATTTTTTTACATAAGAATATATGTAAAAATATTTATTCCAAAATATTGAAATTTATTCAGTTCTTCATTAACTTCGGAGAACATTTAATTCATTTAATCGAAATTGAAAAATTAAAATTTTCTTCAGCACATATTTCTATATAACAAGGAATTCGAAAAAGAATTCGTTTTTTGCGAATTTTTAAGAATTCAAATATTTTAGTTAATTTTCAATGAGAGACACAATTCAAGCTAAAAGTTAAAGTTCTAACCATACGATGAATAAACTTCCAACTATTTCGAACTGATTTAATATATAAATTTCTAATAAATTTTAAAGAAAACTTAATTTTAATAAAAACTCGAATGTGTATTCATTAGGATGAAGAAATTTAATTATTGAAAATAATAAAATATTACATAATAAATATTTTTTAAGATAATAAATCTAAACATATATCTACTACCAATATGAATATTTTGTGTATTATTATTCATCTAAATTAATTATTTTAAGTTAAAAGAAAAATATTTCAAATAGAATATGAAATTGCATACCTTTACATACTATTACATATGTATTCACTTTGAGTTGAAGATATTGTAGTGCTTCTTCTCTATTAATTTTTATAAAATTTGTACTTTTTCAATATATTTAAAGTTTTAAATTTTGCATGTTTTTGACATTAATTTTTAAATAATAATTTATTTCACATATCTGAACGCAATGCATGTAAGCTTGTATTTTGCATTTTAAAATTTGTTCATTTTTCCGTTATTTATGAAACTGAATACTAGGAATCGTTAGTAAACTACAAATCCCTCAATTCAGTTCGTTGAATGGAAAATGGAAATGGAATGGAACACTGTGCATTTTTACAGATAATAATATGTAATAAGTCCTTATGAGATCGACGAGAGAAACTTAAAATGCACAACCATAAATACTTTTTGCAAAATATTTTTCTCAATTCTATTGAAAAGCAAAATCTTCTTTAAATGTAAGTTGAATAACAGTTTTAGATTTCATGAAAAATTTTTTAATAATATTAAATAAAATTCACGTTATAAACGTGAAATGCAACAAAAAGATTTAATATGAAATTCAGAACACAACACTGCGTATGAGTAACAACTTTTAATAAAAAATTTAATTAGAGAAATATTAATATTATTAAAATATTAATTGAATAATTAGTTAATAAAATAATTAATTAATTAAAAAATATTACATATAGTGTATTTATATAATACATACCTTATCTTGATTCCCATTCAATGTAATCAATCTATCCAAACTTTCTCATACATAATAAAATACTAATATTAAGTATGTTTGAAAGAAACGTCAAGAGTTATTCACTAACATCTATGAATAGTTATTTGCAGTTTATTTGATATTGTTTTGATTGTAACCTTAGTTTTATATCCATAAAAGCTACCAAATAATATAAATAATAATATATATCTTAATATATATATATAGCTTAAATAATATATATCAAAAATTCAATAATTTAAAAAAGTACTATTAATGAAAATATCTTAGATGCATATTTCTATCAATTACACTAATTCGAAGTCGACTATATCAGCTAATCTTTCTAATACTAATCAAGAGTGAAGTGCTTTTGTCAAATTTAAACAAAGTAGTAGCTCGATTTAGTATGGAATTCCTGTATTCTCTTTTTCTCTGCTTTTCTTCATTCTCTCTCTGCTTCTATTTCTCTTTATCTTCTTCAATCTTTCTCTCCAATTCTGTTTCATGATTAAATTGTTTTAAACATATTTATTATATTAATGATTACTAAGTAATAATAAACATATATGGAGAGCACTACGACTTTAATAGAACTATTCTACCGCCTGCAAGAGTCCCTAGCCAAACATCTTGTCGGCCTACAAACGTAAAAATTTATTATAATTATTGCCAATAACTATTGACATAAAAAATATATTGTTACAGTGTCGCAGTCTAGACCCAAATCAATAACCTTGCCAGGCAAATATATTATTCTAAGATGGTAATGCACACCGATGTGTCTGCTTGGGATGTGTTAGTAATGTCAGCTTTTTTGTATTGTGTAAAGACGTCTTTTTCTAAACCACTGTGTCCTATCAAATATTTCAATACCAATCTCAGCTATGAACACCAAAGAACGCTACTTCCAAGCAGAGAAATCATTCTGAGACGGTAATGCACTCCAAGATACCTGGTTAGGATTTGTCTAGAAAAAGAAAAAGATCTTTTTGCAAGTAAGAGTTCAAATTTGTTCATTTGACCATTTGACAATTTTTGAAATGTCGTACCAGAACGTCGTTAATTTTTGACTGTTGCTTAAGTACAATATATTTTAAAAGAAAATGTGTTTTCTTTGTATAATTTGTTCAGCTATTATTTTCTACGTAGAGCCCCTTGTTTATTATTGATGTAAATTAAAATTGATTTATATTTGCAACAGATTCTTGAATACGTATGGAAAATATTAAAAAGCAACAAAGCTTTTTATTGAACAAAGTTATATGATCACTTTAGTAGTAAAGCAAAAGAGGTAAAAGCCACAGAGTGCTAAATCAAATAAATGTAGTAACTATTTGATTTAACTGATGCTTTTATTTGTAAATACATATATGACTTCATATCAAATAGCAAATTTTAAAAAGTAATTTTTTTTTTAAATCTTAAAGTATGCTGAAACTTATATCATATATTATAATATTAAATAAAAAAATACCAGAAAAAATTATCTCTGATGTATCTGTTACATATCAAAGTTAATACACTTGGCAATATTTCCAACATTTGTATTGGCCAGATACTTACATATATTAGTGCGTCCGACTCATTCTTATATACTCATCACTCTAAACACAATAACAAGGAATGTGGAATTAAAATCACTCTTTTAGCTAATTGAGTAGATCTACATTCTCCTTAGATGGACCTTAATATTATATGTCGATCCTCTGAAGTTTGTTTTTTT